GTGGCTGATGAAAACGATGGAGATCTAAATGAAACAGAGCAATACATGTGGGTATTAACGCGTTAGATCTGTAGATCCATCAAACCAAAAACTGTGGGCAAAAGGGTTTTTGGATAGGGATCACTTTTGTTTATCCTGGGATTAACTTGCTCGACTGGTGGTTGTAATTTTTTTTCTTTCTGAATTTGGGTTTTTCTTGTGGGTGACGCAGAAGGTAGAAGAAGATATAGATGATTTAACAAAAGAGAGCTCTCAATCAGTGTGATTGAACGAACTGAAACTCTTTTGCTCTCTCTCTCTCTCTCTGGTGGTATTTTTCAGCAGACAAACCCCTATAAAGGAAAACGAACAAAGCGATGGCTGAAAGCCAGCAATGCATATGGGCAGCCATGGGCTCCACATATAACCAAAGAAAGAGAAAGTAGATAGAAACAGAGAGAATAATTTAATAAATAATATTTTATGATAAAATCAAAATATAAAAATCTTTGATTTTCATTTGCTCATATTCTAAATTGGGTATATTCATCAATCTATAGTGAGAAAAGGATTAACATTTTTATTGTGGAGGAAAAAAAGTACTTTTCTTTGTAGTTGATTTTAAAAAAGTGCTTTTGTATATCATTTTTTTCAAAAAGATTGCTAGAGTGATAAGTTATGACATGTTATATTTAAGTTGGTTGTTATATAAAGGATCTCAAATGATCATTTATGATTCAATTAGCAATATGGCATCTATTATCATTTGCTTATTGTCTTGACTTTTTTTAAAAGCAAAAGTTGTCTTTTGCTGCAAAAGAATTTTAATTGGAAATACAATACTTTATTTCTTAATTACTTTTGTATTTTGTATTTTTATTTTTATTTTATTGAAACACATTGCTTGTAGATTTTCGTTACGTGTTGTTTGAGTTAATGTTTAAGGTTTTCATAACCAATTTTGATTCTTGAAGATGGGTTGTGTTTGTGAGCTTGTGACTTCCTTGCATAGGTGTCCAAACGTCAAGGGTTTAGGGACACGTGTCTACACACAATCACGAGAAAGTGGCAATAATTTTATGGAGTTTTGGAGGGTTTAAAGTAAAATAATATTTATAAAAAAATCCAGATTTTTTATAAAATTTGTGCCCCCATAAAATGAACAAGATCTATTCATTTAAAAACCATTGTCGCATTTTGTGGCGCCAATTCCCGAGCAAGAAATTTTTTTTTTTCCCTTCTTATTATTGTTCTTTGATTGTGACAAAAAATTATTGTTCTTTGATTGGCAAACGACAAAGTTAGGCTGTCGTTTGAGCATATGTGTCGATGAATATCCCAAAATAAACCAGTTGCAAAATATGATTTTCAACATATTGCATATGTATGCAATGATGCATTTTAGTACACCTGTTTGACATAAGGGTTGACGTATTATTATTAGGTGCACATTTCATATAAATTTTACATGAAATTCTGAAGTTATGAGGTGCCATGATCACTTCGGATTAAATGTGGTTCTGTCATTTGTAACATCTTATCGCACTTGATATGCAATTCATTTTTTGTTGTCGAGTCATACTTTACACACATACATACTCATTAAAGAGTGTAAGTTGAATCGAAGAGTTCATTATACCGAAACTTGAAGTCTTGAATTTTGCAAAACCCTAATTAAGGAAGTACTCGTGTGTCAAAACTCATTGTTGACTATGATTTATGCTTTGGTATTTTGGGATTTGGAGGATGTAATTGAGTGGTTTTATGCCCACCGACATTAGAGGTAAGACCCTCTCTTGCATTGTTCACAGTCAACACAAGAAAACGACCAAACCGACCACTTGCTTTCTCTTTTTATCTTATTCATATTTTTAAACATGAAAATGGGTTTAAAATTCGTGAAACTACAGCATATCCTTTTTAGGACCATTGCAATCGTAATTCAATTCACACAAGAAAGGTAAAGACCAAGCCGACCAATTATTATTATTTTATTTAAAATTTAAATAAGTAAATATATTTATTGTTGTTGCCTTGTTGGGAAGGAGGTGCTTCTTGTGATTAAACTTTACAACTTTAAGAACGTATGGATGCTCGCAGCTGAGATATCCCAAGCTTTGCATTATGTGGAATCAACTTATCTATAAGTGAGTTCACATTTCCTCAAATTAAAATAATAGTAATAATAATAATAATTAAAGAAAGCAAAAAGAAGCTTTAGTGTAGGTTCACATTGTTAATTTGTTGGGTAGCTTGGTTGGCCTAGACCTAAAGTTGTGTTTATACATAGCTTTGGTTTTCAGCAATTTACGAAAAAGTTGGTTTTAGAAGGCTCGAGAGCAATTAGAAAGCATTAAAAATTGGACAATACTTAAATCGTGACTAATCCTGACATTCTCGTTCTTATCATCAATAATGTTGCTATATGTGTAATTATTTATAATATTTAAAAGGATGTTTAGTCGTTGAGGCAATAAATGTAAGAAACAAAATGAATGTGTGTTTGATTGCATGTTTAATAAATTTGATCAAATTAAATTACAAATATATGTAATGATGTTATTCGGCCACATAGAACTATGAGAACCATAACGTCCAAATCTAGACCCAAGCGAAAATTTGGGTGGGAACCCAATAATTGCAATCGCAATGCAGTTGATCGCTTTCAGGCTCAACAAACAACAGGTTGAGGTCAGGCAATCATAAAGTTTTTATATGGAGAGAGAGAGGGGGGGAGAGAGAGAGAGGTCAATTAGAGGAAGGAAACAAATGCAGCACTCTAAAGTCCAAAAGCTATCAAACAAAAGCTGAAAGTCTAAAACGCGTATTTGGTGGAAAGTATCACTGCCAAGAATGATTGATATGTAACGCTCTAAATCATCATATAGTACATTCTTGTCAAAACGCCAACCAAAAAAAAAAAAAAAAAAAAACATATTGCTTCATTAAGCCCAAAGGCAACATAAGAAGGCCCCACATTATGAAGCTAGAAACCTCGAGAACAAACCACACAAGAAATAAATATAGGCCCAAAATTGAGATCGATCTATAATAGCCCATGATCATTTGTCTAGGCTGCTAAATTTTCATTCTATTAGGAGGTTATGTGTTCAAATATGATGAACGACAGTTGCTAAATAAAAAAGCTTTACTACTATAAACGGTAAAATTCTACATTTCTCGTAATGTTTTTCCTTTTGTGTTAAGGTCGTAAGGATAAAAGTTATTTAGCTATTTCGAGCAAAGGAAAGATACTGTCTATCAAGTCATGAGTCGTAAACAAATATGATCATAACTTAAAAATGTTGATCGAATTTCATGATTCCTTATGCTACCAAACTTGTTCCCATCACATCATTAACCCATGTAGAATTAAAGACCAAATCCATTGATGTCCTTTCTTTTTTCCATCTTCTTTTGAATTAGAATTTGGTTATTTAGCATGTAGGAGTAGTATGCTTGCTAGCTTACTAGTTAAAGCACCCAACTCATAATCAGAGTTTTATGTAGAAATGTAATAAATTAAAGCCCAACTTGTATTATATGATTTACCAAAAGTTGAAAAAGGAAAAAGAAAAGAAAAGGAAACAGCTCTAAATTTATTTTTGGGTTTTAGCGCAAAATTATTCCTTTGGAACCCCGGACACTCCACCTCAAAAAATCCAGCATCTTCCTCTTCTTCACCTCCACAAGACAACCCCCCAAAAACCCCTCAACCCAAACCCTAATTCATCTCCTACATGAAGAAAATTCCAATCCAATTCAGCGTCAATTACCTAAAATCCCACCAAAGGAACCCCAAATTCTGGCTCTTCAAACCCTAGATTTCCCGCCAATGGGCTCAACCATATTCCCAATCTCCTTCATGAACGATACTCTCTCTCCTCCACCGTCCCCTGGCGATGGCGACGATACCTTCGAGGCCTGGTATGGAAACATCCAGTACCTTATCAACATCTCCGCCATCGGTTCCTTCTTCTGTGTCTTCATCTTTATCTTCGTCAAGCTTCGCAGCGACCACCGCCGCATGCCTGGCCCGTCTGCCCTCGTCTCCAAGCTCCTCGCCGTGTGGCACGCCACGTGTCGCGAGATTGCGCGCCACTGCGGAGCTGACGCGGCCCAATTTCTCTTGATCGAGGGTGGCAGCTGCGGCTTGCTCTTGTCCATGGCGGTCTTGGCTGTGCTTGTCATGCTTCCGTTGAATCTATATGCTGGGAATGCTGTGCTTGGAGACCAATTCTCGAAGACGACCATCAATCACATTGAGAAAGGTTCGGCTTTGCTTTGGGTGCATTTTGTTTTCGTGGTGGTGGTTGTTGTTTTGGTGCATTTTGGTATATCTGCTATTGAGCGAAGGCTGAGGATCACTAGGATTAGGGATGGGAACGGGAATTTGAGTGACCCAACTGCGAATTCCACTGCTATTTTTACTATAATGGTGCAGGGGGTACCAAAAAATATAGGAAATGATAGGACTGTGTTGCATGAATATTTTCAACATAGGTATCCTGGAAAGGTTTATAGGGTCATAATGCCGATGGATTTGTGTGCATTGGATGATTTAGCCTCGGAATTGGTGAAGGTTAGGCATGAGATTTCTTGGTTGGTTGCACGAATTGACTCCCGGCTCTTGCCATATGAAAGTGAAGAGGAAGGATATCTTGGGGCTTCTTCAGAGGGAGTAAGGGGTCGGGCTTGTTATATGTGGGGAAAGGTGAAAGATTTCTGGTATCAAACTATGGCTAGGTTGGGTTACACGGATGAAAGGAAATTAGGAAAGTTGCAGGGATTGAGAGCTGAATTGGAGACTGAACTTGCAGCTTATAAAGAAGGGCGTGCACTGGGCGCTGGTGTTGCGTTTGTGGTGTTTAAGGATGTGTACACTGCTAAT